GGCTTTTGATTGATTGCTGCAGGGAATAAGGTGAGCTGGTTCCTGGTACTGGGGATAAGTAATAACTTTTCCAAAGTTTTGGTGAGGCTGGAGCAGCCGGATCTTGCTGTCCTGTTAAGCTGCCTGCTGCATTCTGTTTCCATCCCAGAATTCTGCTGATGTCAGGCTGACAAATGTTCCTCCATTAAGAGGGCTGCAAATATTTTGAGAGAAATGTCATTTAACCTGAAAATTATGGTTGTTCTGTGACTCATTGTTGATGGAAATAGAGTGGCTAGAAATGTTTTGTAAATTGCAGTAGGGAAGAGGATTTGTATGGACCTGAGTTCTTTCTTGCAAACCGATCCCTGTTTTCAGTGTGTCAAGCAAAGTCATCTACAGCATATGAACTGGATTTGCGGTGAAAGCCCACCGGGACCCCAGGTTTCAACCTGCCCTCTAACTAGTACTACTGCACACACTATGGCAGGTTCTCTCCAAAGTAGTATAAATCTGCTAAGGTAGTAGTAGTGTGATACCACCTAAGTTAGTTCTCTCCCAAGTAGTCTCTGCTTCTTTTAAAATCTAAAAGCTGTGTGAGTTCATCTGGGGTGGTACTTACGGAGGGCTCTGCCTTGTTTCATGGCTTCAGGGCAAGTATATATCCCAAAGAGTTTCACATTGATGAGTTTTAAAACTGCTTGTCTAGTTCTTCTGTCATCTTCTTGGCTGATTCTTTGTTAGCTCATCTTCCAAAGGTGAAACTGCATTTCTTTTTAAAGATTGCATAGATTCTAATTGAATTAATATGTGTGGACAATCACCTCTCTCCCTTCCATGTGGAGGAATGGCAACTCCAAATCCAAACCAGTAGTCTAGTTTCCCCTGTGTTCGGCAGAAATGGATAGAACCAGGGTTGTTGTGTTGTTGTTTTTTGAAAAAAAGGTTCTGGAATTCTCAAGAGGGAAATTAAGTTTTCAATCTGTATACTGAAAACTCATGAACTTTTAAACATTGTTAAAATAATTTTGTCAAGGAGGTGCCGAAACTCTGTTCTGGTTCATTCCCCCAGAAAAAAAGTCCTGGATAGAACAAATAAATATAACTAGTATTACATCAAATCCCCTTTCACACTGCTAAGAGTTCTTGGTCCTTGGCTGAATCATGTATTATTGATTCACATGAAACACTGTGATAACATCATGTTCATCACCAGCTGCAGTTTCAGTTTATGTTGAATGAACCCCACTCTTTGTAACTTTCCCCCTTTCTATGGTGTATGTTTTGTCTTACTGAGGCTCTGTTTGGTGTATCTGTTTTCTGTTCAATGTAGTGCTAAATATTTAAGGTGCCACAAAACTTCCGTGTGTGTTTACTGTTGCAGATTAACATGGCTACCCCACTGGAATTTGAAACACTCCCATTACTTTTTTTTCGGCATTTCTGTGAAACTAGTAATCTTACAGCAGTGTTCCACCCAGTCATCCTGGATACAGTATAAATATACATTTTTGAGTATGTGGGGAGTGGCAAGGACTTGTATTGCTGCTCCTGTGAATCCTGGACATAGGAAAAAATGTTCCATGACAGACTCTTAGTTTAACCTAACCAGAGCTGCTTCCAAGTTTGTAAAATGAGCTGTTCTACAGAATTGTTAGAAAGTGAATGTGAGAAATGCATCCTAGACACCTGGCTGTATGGCTGGACAACTTCTCCAATTCTGTTTTGTTGGGTGCTGGGTAGGTCCTCACAAATGCCCACCCCTCACCTTCTTCCATTATTTAGTCAGTTACAGTATAAAGTTCATAAGACCTATGGAAGGCAATTGACTGGAAGGCAGTCTACTTGTAAGAGGTAAAGTATCTTCAGTTTGGTCCCCTGTCACCCAAGCGGCATGCATTAACCTTCTATCTGTGTCTCTCTCCCCCCCCCCCCCCAATTTGGCTATGTTCTGTTCTTTTCCCAAGTATGCCAAAAGTAAAATAATTTTGCCGCTTGGTAGACTGGCTGCAACTATGAAGATGGGTAATGGGCAAATGAGTTGCTGGGGGAGGGAAGGACATGAGGCATGAAAATGTCTGTCTGTATCAGTTATGTACAGAGTGATGAGGAAGGCCCCATGAACTTCTCAACTCTGAGCAAAGAGGAGGCTCCTCCTGTAATGGCCGTAATTGCATCTCTTGGGAGATGTTGCTTCACCTAGAGAAGGCACAAGAGGCTACGGAGTTTTGAGTGCAGAGTTCATGAGAAATGGCCCCTTCTGGGTTTTCCTCTGGATGTTCTCAGGATGTTAGAGAGGTGTGGGCCACATGATTTGTCTGGACAGCCAGACGATCAATCAGTAGCTTGTCTTGGGTTCTTGGAAAACATGGATTTTTATAGCGATGATTATGTCATCACCTTCTTGGCCGAGATAGGAAAGAATCTTGATATGGTAATATATCAGAACCATCTGTAGGGATAACTCCTTGTTAATGGGAGTTGTCAGCTCTGTTGAGTGAATGTTGTGCAGGTGTGAATATTTAACAATTTTAAACCACAACACATTTTTTTCCAGAATGATTTCAATCAGTGGTTTCCAAATATATATATACAAGGGGGGACCCGCGATATTCGCGGGGGGGGAGTCTCTCTCTTCCCCGCCATTCTCTCTCTTCCTCTGCGAGCCGC